TAAATGTTTTTAAAATATATATTTAAAATAAAAGGTATTATTTATTCTCCTTAACCAAAGTTATCTTAGTGGCAATCAAGATGCATTAAAAGTGATATAACAAAGGAAACAGGAAATATATAATATAAAATTTATCAGGTAAATCCTTAAAGACTGCTGTTAAATTACAAAAAATAATGGTGTACTTGCATTTCCTATTATTTCTCTGGTTGATGATATGTGAGAAGAGATGAAGGAATGGTGGTAGTAGCAGGATTCAAAAGTGTTTTGATTTTATTCGTATGCTTCAGATGCCCCTTTTGGCCCTTTTAATTCTTATTATTTTTGTATGGCCACTTTCTCATCAGAAAAAAAATTATCTGAGCCTCCCTCCCCCGTGTATAGTTTTCATTGTTAGCATCTAATCTTTAGTTTAATTGGAAGTTTAATCTTTAATTCAATTATATGTTCTTTTGAAGAAGAACAGTCAGAAGTTTCTGGAATACTCCTGATTTTAGAACACAATTCCTAAATGAAATATCCAACAATATAAATTTACTTTGAAGGTAAAACCAAATTCAGAACCTTTATTGTGCTTTTCTTAGTTGGATAATTGTAGAAAGAAATCTATAGATATCCTAGATATCTGTGATTCAGGTGAGCAGCTGGAAGATAGCAGATGGTGAAGAACGGCACTCCCCTCCATTTATTCAGTGTGAAATCGTCACTTGAATAGGAAATATATGTGTGTGTCTTATTAGCAAAAATTTTTACATGGGTATATCCCAGTTAATAGAAATAAAATGATATATATGGACAAAGATGAATCTAAAGAGCTTTTACTTATTGTATGTGTGAATTTTTAACCTATCATTTTCCAACAACAATGCAGAATGATGGTACCTTTTTATGGTATTTTAAAAGGCTTGTGTCGAAGTCCACAACCTTTAAAACAGGTAAACATGTAAAATAATGTGATCAAAAAAATGTTGAAGATATGGTTTTGGTGGTGGGCAAGAGTCAGAGAGTATAAGCCAATTTAAAATATCACTAAGTGGATTATTAGATGTCTGGAGAAGAATGATTTGATTTATCTTGCTTCTGCCAGTTCAGTCTCTGTTTTGTTAGCCCTGTTCTGGCCCTGAAATTTCTAATTTAGTCAAGTTCTGACTCCCAAAATATCTTTAAGTATGGAAATGAGTAATAGAACTTTTATTTTTTAAGTTGAGTTTTTCACAGGCTTATACTTGTAAATTGAAGCTAAAGTAATACTTAAACCATGAATGATACCATTCTTTTTAAAATAATTATGAAAAGGCATTTTTTTGGGTAGCTCCAAGCCTGTCCCACTCTTCATTTTTGAAACATTCAAATTGGTTATTTAAAGGTATATTACTATGTAGCAGTGTATCCTGATACTGATAATACAAATTTGAATTTTGCCAAATCCATTTGTGTCTGTTTCAACTATAGAGACAGAAAAATAATGGGCATACACAGAGTAGTCATGATATTAGTGACTAACCAAATATTTTCCTACTATTGGACATGAATGTCTGAAATCTTAAGACTTGCAACCATTTGAGCAACTCTTCACAATTGTTCTCTATACCTTGCAGAGGAAAAAGGAAGAAAATTAATATTAAGCACTACTTTGCATGGGGCTTTTGATATATATGTGTCATATGATCTTTATAGGAATTCTGTGGGGAAAGACGGTGATATCCCCTTTTTATAAGTCCACAGGCTCCACAGTTCAGATCTGCCTGTACACATGGCAAAAAAGTGACCAAATGCTATTCACCTCCAAGTCTGTCAGAGTCCGGAGCCTGGGCTCTTCGTTCACCATGCTAGACATTTTAGTTATGCTTTAATTTCAATATATATTCAGTTTTGTCATTTTTATACCCTTGGAATCTTGTCAGATTTTAATTTTTAAAAATTAGAAAATGGGCTATTTAACAATATGAATTTTAAATAAAATATCTGCTTTTAAATTTATTTTACGTCAACAGTCATGGAATTTGAATACTCCAGTGGTACTTCAGGATACTCAGTATACCTACTGAAAAAAATGACAAATTGAATAGCTGTATCACTGTGAAGTAAGTTCTATAATAAAAGAATAAAATGTGGTGGGAGCACAAAGTAAATGACAAATAAATTTTCTATCTAGGAGTCTCTGCTGTGTCTGAACTCCCAGCACCTAGTGTAAAGTTGTAATCATCTATGGTAACTATAGGAGACAGAAGTATGTTCAGCTAATGCTGCTTAAAGGCTATCTAGTTTTCTTAGAAAACTGTGAATATTCCTTCTAGACTTTTCTGTTGATAAAGAGAAGAAAGACTCTGAAGGGAGCCTTAGGGGTATCAATAGACAGGAATTAGATTAGTAGTCCTTGCTCCTAAAAGGAAGAGGTTGCTTCTTTATTAAACTGTGTTTTTTGTTTTTGTATTTACCAGAAAGAGACAGGTTTGTTCAGTTTAGTATTGAGCAATTCAGAAGTAAATGTTGAAGTACAGTGGAAGGGTTTAGAGTAGATAAAATTTAGATTATCTAAATCTTTACATAACATATCTGAAGCTTTATGTAACAAGTATTGTATGTTTATAAAATACAACTTTAATGCTATTTTTAGAAAACCATGTGATAGGAACAAAAAAAGTGTTATTAGATCCCTTATGTAATAAGCTGGACTGTGTAGCCCTCAGCTCAATTTTATGTTTTGAGAGAAAATAACACTTATTGCAGCTGAGAAGAGAGCTCAGAAAAATAGAAGTAAAAGTTGTATTTTCTTGATTAGCAATAGGATATGAGATTGGTCTCCTAATTGCATGTAGGATCTTTTTGCCATTGTCCATTTTGAATACAAATATGCAGAAATTATAATTTATTTTGTAATTAACAGACTGAAAAGGAATTGCTTTGTAAGATACGGACTTTCTTCTGTAAACATAAAGGGCTTCTGAAATTTGTGAGGTTGGTATCCTCCATTAGGTGCAGCATATATAATTTTTCACTCAATTACATAATATAGTTGACCCTTGAACAACACGAGTTTGAACTGCATGGGTTCACTTATGCTGGATTTTTTTTTCAATAAAAGTTGCAGTTGCCTCTCCTGCCTTCTATTCTGCTTCCTTCACTTCTTCCACCTCTGCCACCTGAGACAGCAAGACCAACCCGTCCTCTTCCCCATCTTTCCCCTCCTCCTCAGCCAATTCAATGTAAAGAGAATGAGGATAAAGACCTTTATGATAATATACTTCCACTTAATGAATAGTAAATATATTTTCACTTTTTATGATTTTCTTAATAACATTTTCTTTTCTCTAGCTTACTTTATTGTAAGATCACAGTATGTAATACACATAACATACAAAATATGTGTCAGTCAGTAGTTCGTGTTATCAGTAAGGCCTCCAGAAAACACCAGGCTATTTAGTAGTTACATTTTGGAGGAGTCAAAAGTTATATGTGGATTTTTGACTGTGTGTGGTGGTTGGCACCTCTAACCTGTTTTGTTTGAGGGTCAACTGTATTATGTTGCCACAGGCCTTTCTGAATGGCTTGAATAAATATTTCCTGAGACATCATTTACTAGATATGTGTCAATATGTGTAGATGACTTTGTAACTAATGGAAATAATGTATTTGTACAAAACTATTATAGGGTTTACACAAATATCAAATAACCAGTCTGCTACTTTCTCTTTAAGAGTTACATTTTATTTGAAGGGGAAAAATATATGATTTATTTTTAATTACAGCTGTAATGCTATCTAAAGTTCAAACAGGAATCACATCAGTAAATAGTGATTTTCTTATTTCTTTATAAGAAGTAATCATCCATTCAATAGAAGTCATAAAAAGATAAAAGCTGAAAGAAACCTCTCAAGCTTTAGCTGCAGTGAGAATTGGTTTCTTAGAAAAGTGTGTTGGGGATGAGAAAATGATAGCACACACTGTAACATGTTAAGTACTTTGAACTGAAGGATATTGGAAGAGCCCCAGAAGCAAAGTATCCTTTCAACCTTCCCTTGCCCTTCTTTCTTCTGTTCCCCTTTCTCTCCCAAGCAGACCATAGAAACTAGAATTTCTCTTCCCCCAACCATGTCATAGAAATTAGAACTCCACTTTCCCAAAGCCAGCCATAAACCTAGAAATATTATTCTAACCTTCCCCTGCCTTTCTGTGTAGGGGCTGGCCATAAAGAAATTCTATGACCTACCTTGTATGATAGTAGGTCGTAAGACCCTCATTCCAGAAGGAGTTCTGCCCTGTACCTTGAAGGAGGGGATGCTATGTAAAAGACCAAGAAGAATCTGAACATACAGACCTTGCTGGCTTTCCTCCCTCAGTCTGTTACCATTCACTTACACACTTTTGTCCAATTACTCTCTATTCTTAGCTCTCCATTCTTCATTGACTAAGCATGAAAATACAGTGTTCCCCTGAGTCTTCATTTCTGAAGCCTCGTATGTCATGAAAAACTGATTAAATAAATTTGTTATGCTTTCCTCTTGTTAACCTGTCTTCTGTTATAGGAGTGTTGGCCATGAAACTTACAGTGGGTGAAGAAAGGTATTAGACCTTTCTGCTCCTACAAGTGCAACTTAATACTAACCACATCTGATTACTTTGTTCTTTTTTCTTGATGTTCATCAGGAAAACTTTTTTTTGTTTTAGGATATGTCTGACACTCCAAGTAAAAATGATTCTTCTATTTCCAATAAAGCAGACTAGCCAAAATAATTTTTTTATACTTAAGATCTGGATTGCATTGGTGGCATTCATTTTTTTTTTAAATATGTCATATTAGTTGGCAGTTTTTAACACTACATTAAGGTGGTTGAAAGAGTGGGCTTTGGAGAGAGACCTAAGTTTCAGTCCCATCTCTGATACTTGTTAGCCATATGATCTTGGTCATTAGCTTTGGTTAATAATCTTTTAGAGAAAGTATTAATCATCAGTTTTATAAAAGAACCTATTTCACTATAGTCTTTTATTTGCTTTTACAGATCAGTGTACTGTTACCCGGACATACCTATTCCTTCACAAGTTCTGGTTCTTCAGTGCTGCTTACTATTTTGGTAACTGGGCCTTTCTTGGGGTAAGTACAGATAGCCCAGGCATGATTTCCCCTTCTTTTATAAATTATAGTTAAATGTGTAAACTTTTTGTATCTTAGTGGTCCATTTGTATCATAGTACTGTCATTGAATTTTTAAAGCATTACTTTCCAAATGATTTTAAATTTGAAAAGTAACACATAGCTTATTTAAATTTACAGGTATTCTTGATTGGATTAATTGTATCCTGTTGTAAAGGGAAGAAATCGGTTATTGAAGGAGTAGACGAAGATTCAGACATAAGTGATGATGAGCCCTCTGTTTATTCTGTTTGACAGCCTTCTCTGTCTTAAAGGTTTTATAACGCTGACTGAATATCTGTTATGCATTTTTAAAGTGTTAGACTGACATTAGGATGAGCTAACTAGCTTTCATCAAAAATGGGAGCATGGCTATAAAACAACTATATTTTATTATATGTTTTCAGAAGTAACATTGTATCATAGATTAACGTTTTAAATTACCATAATAATGCTATGTAAATATAAAACTACTGGCTTTGTGAGGGAATGTTTGTGCAAAATTTTTTCCTCTAATGTATAATAGTGTTTAATTAAAAATCTTCCAGAATTAATATTCCCTTTTGTCACTTTTTAAAAACATAATACATCATTTGTATCTGTGCCTTAGGTTCTCCAGAGTGATGTGGAATTTTAAAGTGTCTCTCTCTGATTGCCTCCAAATAAAATTTACAATATAGCTGATGAATGTTACTCCCATATGCAACTTCTTTTCAGTTTTCTGCCTAAAATCTTTAGCACCACTCAAGTAGATTTCATGAAAAAGATTTCAAACTCTCCTTAGTGCTATAAGAGCATGGCATTCCAAGATGTGTTATATTGTTCAAATGTCAGTCCATTAGATATCTTACAACCTCTACAGTATTTAAGGCATACATACTGTTATTGGTAGCTTTTGTTTTGTATCTGACCTCAAAATTTGTATTCCAATATAAATGGGGTATTGTCAAGAATAATCCTGAAAAAATCAGTTTATGGATTAAGATAGATGGCATCATATTTTGGTTTTAGAGATACTTTTTCATTCTAAAGATTTGAAATTTGCAAAAGATATAATGAAAGCTGTATGACATCAGGGTATTTTGAACACATTCTGGATAGTGAGAAATAATAAAAAAAGGTATATATTCTAGTTTACTAGCATAAGCACATTAGAACTCACAAAAAAGTATGTATCATGATCCTTGAGGTAAAATATTAAGTTTCTGAAAAAAGGCTTAGGAATTAACAACTATATCCAAGTTAATTCTTCTCTCCTTTAATTTTTGTGCCATTTTTCTCTGTTCTGATTCTTTGTCTCTCTTGATAAACCTTCACAGCTTTCATATTTGGCTTCTGCTTCTGCAACTACCCTTTAGCATTATTCACCAGGATTTCATTCCCTTCTGTTCTTATTTTACATTTTCTTTCTTTTTTTTTTTTTTTTTCAAGATGGAGTTTCTCTCTTGTCGCCCAAGCTAGAGTGCAGTGGCATGATCTCAACTCACTGCAACCTCCCCCTCCTGGGTTCAAGCAATTCTCCTGCCTCAGCCTCCTGAGTAGCTGGGATTACAGGCACGTGCCACCACGCCCAGCTATTTTTTGTATTTTTAGCAGAGACGGGATTTCACCATCTTGGCCAGGCTAGTCTTGAACTCCTGACCTCATGATCCACCCACCTTGGCCTCCCAAAGTACTGGGATTGCAGGCGTAAGCCACCATGCCCGGCCTTGTTTTACATTTTCTTTGTGGACAATCTCACATACCCTTGGCTTCTATCTATACTACGTGTTCTTAAGCTCTGAACTTTGACTTACCTTTTAGCTAGAAATTACTGCTTCAACTGCAACATTTTGAAAATTGAAGTATTCATTTTTGGGGGGCAAACTAAGCCTTCTTCTGCATTCATTTTTTTTGACAAATGATACCAGCAGACACTTGATTGCCTAAACAAAAAAATCAGGTAGATCTCCATATCTCTTGTGTATAACTGACTCATCAAACAATCATGTCATGTTAATTTCTACTTCCTATCTTTCCATTTGTCCCCTCTTCTCCACTTTCCATGTTATAGGCTGAATTGTGTCCCCTTACAATTCATATGTTGAAGACTTGGACCCTGGCACTTCACAGAATAATACTGTATGCGGAGGTAGGGCCTTTTAAAAGTAATTAAAATAAAATGAGGCTATTGGATAAAGCCCAAATCCAGTATGACTGGTGTTCTTATAAGAAGGGGGAGAGACATCTAGAATGTATATGTACAAAGAAGAGGCCATGTGAGGATACAATGAGAAGACAGTGGTCTGCAAGCCAACAGGAGAGGCCTCAGGAGAATGCAGTGTTTTCAATGCTTTAATCTTGAGTCTCCAGCTTCCAGATCTGTGAGAAAATAAATTTCTGTTGTTTAAGCCACTCGGTCTGTGGCATTTTGTTATGGCAGCCCAAGCAGACTGATAAACTCTGGTTCTTTAAATTCCTCACTGGACTTTCTGCAAAGTCTTGACTCCTTTCAGTCTTTTCTGAACATTTAAAATATAAACCTGATTATTTCATTTCTTTACTGCAAAATTCTTTCAGTTATTTTAGAATGTACTCCATAAGGCTTCATGAGATAGATAAGGCCTTTCTGGTGTGCATCTCTTCTGACTCCAAGTTCCCCTGCCATCCCCACACCAGTTATATGAGGCAGCTGACAAATGGCTCCTGTTACTCACATGGCTATGAGTCTTCACATCCCCACTCTGTTGAACTATTCCTTCTGCTTGTGATGCCTGTCCCTTCCTTTTGTCTCCTAAGAAAATCCTTATTCTTCAATTCTCAGCCTTAGAATTATCTCCCTAGGTCCCTCCTCCCCTAAGTTGCCCAGACACAGGTGCTAGCTTTTCCCTATCCACATGGCACCCTGTACGGTATATTGTGATTTATTGCCTTCATGTCTGCCTCCACTAGACTCTAAGTACTTAAACACAACGTCTGGTTTTTCAACTTTGTCCTTGGTGCCTAGAGTAGCTTCTTACACATGGAAGGTATTCAATTGACAGGTAAATTTGTTAGAAGCCTTAAGCTCGTCTACATGGTTTAAGCATACAAAAACTATTTTGATTAAGGAGGAATATATATTTAGCCTATTTTTGAGGTTTATTTTGAAACCCTGAAGGTTAGAAGTATTATATTTGTCTTGAATACTCCATATACTTTACTTTTAGGAATGTTTGGTTGATTTCTGTCAGACCAACTTCTTAGCTTTTGATTTTGCTAGTTGTATTTTTTTTAATATATTTTTTTCGCCCTAGATTCTATAAACTTTCTACATATTTAGAAGCTTACTTTTATTCTAACACTAAGGTTTTTTTTTCTCCCAGTCATATGGAATGCCTTTATTAACTTTGTATTTTCACGAAGCTGATTTGTGTTATAAATTCCACTAATGAAGAACATATTTCCTTTGAAGTCCTTCTGAAAAATACCTAAATTAGAGATCATCTAGAATGACAACTTTCCAAAAGGCCAAGGCTGTCATGTTCCATGTAAACTTCAAACAAGTGATTATTCATCCATGCAACAAGGTCCTGGCAGAATGAGGACCCTGGAACTGACTTCTAGCTCAGTGCTACCATACCAAAGGAAGTAGAAAATGCATACTGCAAAAGAAAAGGAAACAGGAGCTTCAGGAAAGCAAAAAGCAATACAGAAAATAATGTTTTGAAAATATACTACTGAGCTCTTCAGTGAAAGATATGTACATAGTTCAGTAATATACTGTTTTAGAATCATTTCATAGGCGAAGCACAGTAAACATCGATTACAGCACAGAATTTAAGTATTGACCTTGACCACATAAAAAGACAGTTGTTAAAACCTGGAAGATTGAAGAAGAGGGGTGGAGAGAGACCTAAGGGGAAAAGAGTCATGTTGATATCCTCATTTTATGAGAGGGATGATGGGGAGAAGAGAGAAATTAAGAAATAGTCTCTGGTACAGGGAGTATATATATTGAAGGGTAGCAGAATATGCCACCCCAAAATATGCCATTTTGGCATAAGAATTATTTTGAGCTTAGCAGATACAAGAAGGATGCTTTGACCACCCCTTTTTCTTCCTAAAACCAGGACATAAAACTCCCATGTGGAAGATGTCCTGCCTATACCAGAAGGAAAGTAACATTTTTGTCACAAGGGCTGAAAAAAACCTGTATAACCAAACCTTGGTAAAGTAACCTTTATTGTATTAGTCCATTTGCATTGCTATAAAGTAATACCTGAGGCTGAGTAATTTACAAAGAAAAAAGTTTATTTGACTTACTGTTCTTCAGGCTGTACAAGCAACCTGGTGCCAGCATCTGCTTCTGGTGAGGCCTCAGGAAACTTAGAATTATGGCCTAAGTAGAAGAGGGAATGTACGTATCACATGATGAGAGTGAGCAGAGGAGGTTCCAGGCTCTTTCAAACAACCAGCTCTAGCATGAATTGATAGAGAACTCACTACCACTAGGACAGCACCAAACCATTCATGAGGGATCTGTGTCCATGACCCAAACACCTCCCGCCAGGCCCCTCCTCCAACACTGGGGATCACAATGAGATTTGAAGGGGACAAACATGCAAAATACATCTCATCTTCCTAGTTACTGTTCCACCATTTTCTGCCCTAGCCCTGGCCTCTGTCTTGTCACATTTTCATAATTTACTACTCTTTGTCCAATTCAGTGTATAAGTATTCAACTCTTACTGATTTGTATGCTTTTCTCCTGTTAATCTGTCTTTTATTACAGAGCCCCAGATGGGGCTCCTAAAATGGACAGAGAAAAGATTTTTTTCCTCCCCTACAATTGATTAAAGCTATGGAGGTAATCAATACAGCATCTAAAATGGTAATCCTTTATCCAAAATGTTTGGGAACAGAAGTGTTTGGGTTTTGAGTTTTTTTATCTTAGAATATGTGCAGAACACATACCAGTTGAGCATTCCTAATCAAAAAATACGAAATCTGTAATGCTTCAATGAGCATTTCCTTCAAGCATCATGTTGATGCTAAAGAAGTTTCAGATTTTGGAGTATTTCAGGTTTCAGATTTTCAAATTAGAGTTGCTCAATGTGTATAACAATGTTAGGAGATGGAATAAAAGGGAAGGAAGAAAAAAATGTCTCGAGAAATTCTCTTACTATAGGAAGTCAGTAGACAATATTTAAATATATTAAAGATAAAAAGTGTTTAAAGGAGAAATTTTATCAGAAGATAAAATAATAGCCATTGTGATTATATGTAAATATGTCTTGGAATTTTCTGGAAGCCGAGAAAAAATATGATGGATAATGAGGATTTTACATTTAATAGAAGGAAGCACTCAGTTTTCCTCCTGATAGTTTTTTCTGGCACTAAAATTTAGAAGAAAGTTACACTGTGAATTCTTATATAAAGAATGTTAGTGAACAAATGTCTTTGCTAAAGTTTAAATAGAAAGACCATATGCAAGGAGACAGAATTTGGGATCTCCAGGAAAATCATGTTGGCTATCAAGAAGTCTCAACATGGATTAGCTTTATGTGTATGTAATTTATTCACTCAGCAAACATCTAAACTTATAATTATTTCAGGCACTGGATTGTGGCTACGGAATTTCTGCAATT